ATGTTACTTGTGTATTTATTACGTTAATGTCAATGTCTGTTGTTCTTGTACCTACACTATACGGTGGCCACAAGTCCCTAATCTGACTGCAACTACTTCATTTTGCGGTGACTATCCAACTCAATTTTAATATTTGAATTACCATTAAACGCTCGGTCCGCATGGTAGGAATATTATATTCACATATATCCTTTACTCGACTCTCAAACTGGTCATAGTTGGAATATTATTGACAAATATCGTTTATTCGACTCTCAAACTCCTCATTTCCTTAGAGGATGATTTTTTTTTTTTTTTTTTAGGTGTGTCCCGCAGGGAGTGGACCCCGCAGACTATTCACACCCTCAGCAACTTGCTGGCAGCAAGGTACTCTAAGAATTTAAATTAGCAAATTGAAACTTTCCATATAATTACCAAATTGAAATTTCCATGTAATTAGCTATTGTTTGGTTAAAATGCAAATAGTTGTGTTCTTCTTTTACATTCCCTTAAAGAAAAAATCGAAATGCAAACGAAGAAATTACACTAATTTCTTTGAATCCCTTCACTATTTCCCACCCCTTTCTGTTTTACCAAATAGGAGAATGAATTAGATGCCTTGTTTGGTAAGCAAGTTTTTGGTCAAATTTGCCCGCTATAAGTTTTTTAACAACATTAGGTATAGTAACGTTAAAAAAATTTTCAAAACTTTTAAACTATACACTTTAAAATATCTAAAAATTTACACACTTTAATAAATTTTTCTATAATTTTTATAATAAATTATAATAAAATTTTAGATAAATATTTAAAAAACTCACTTGCCAAACGAGACCAGAGTTTTCAATTTTCGTTACCTCATTTACCTTTCCTCACTCTTCCTGGAACTAACTAAATAAGGCCTTAATGTCCAACCTGAGATCCTTGGCAAACTTTGCTAGTACTATTAAGGAACTTATTAAATAATTCTTGCTTACAAGATCGCAACGGATCTTCTGTCCCACACTCTGTGCCACTCTTTATTATATTGTTATTTCTCCTGCATAAACATCATGTTTGAGTTCTTTTTGTTTTCTTAAAATCCAATAACTATTAATTGAGTAATACATAAAATTTAACAAACTCAAAAAATCAAAATGCATAAAAATGAGATTTTTTATGAATTTTCTGCTATATTTTTAATTTTCTATTATATATTGCTTTTTTGAAACTGCTGTATTTATTTTTTACTCAATTAATAGTTATTGGATTTTAAAGAAACAAAAAAGAATTAAAATATGATGTTTATGCAGGAAAAATAATAATATAATAAAAAAAAAGACAGAGAATAGCACAAAATATGGGACAGAAGATCCGTTACGAAAATCAAGAGAAGGAACAAAGAACTAAGCGCCTTTGTGTCACATTTGATAAAGTTGAGTGCTGAAAATCCTTTTGCCTGCAATTGATCAATCATATCCTTGCAGTAGCTCGTTGGTTGGTCAGCTCAACAGTCAACATTACCCGCTCAATAAAAAAATAAAAAACTGGAGACCGGACATGGTTGCCAGCTTGTTTCTTGTAGCGTATTATTCACAAAATGACGCCGTGGGAAGGAATAGAGAATCTCCGGACCAAACCCAATGATCATTATAAAAATATGTAGGAGACAAACTACAAAGTCAAGGATGCCCTGCTTCATATTTTACCCGAACAATTCTCAAAAGAAAATCAACGGAATCGTTCTTTATAATTACTAAACAACAATAAGGACAAGAAACAAAGATGGGAAGAAAAAATAGCAGTAAAATCGAAGTTGAAACATTAAAAAAAAAAAAAGATCAAAAAACACCTTTAGAATATCTTTTTTATCAGACCCCTCCTTATCTTTTGAGGAAATGAGGATGTTTGTAAATATATCAATCACCTTGTATGCTGAAGACTACGTCAATTTGTCCCTAATGAGGATTCTACCAGCTCCCATCCCAAAAAAAAAAAAAAAAATCCCAGAACTCGGAAGGATGCTGGCTATATACAAAGACAATGGTTAATGTGCTACAATGCAAGTTCTGGGAAGAGGAGTAAGAGATTTTCTTTTTTTTTTTTTTTTTTGGTCCAAACACTTGCTATACACTCATTCTTTCAATGGATAAAATTGATTGTAAATTTTGAAGTTCATTATTAATTTTTTTTACTTCTTTTGGGTACATTTTACGCATACATGCATTGAAACAGTATTGTACAATCGTCTCAAAAGTATGTCACCAATTATCTAAGTCCTTATGTCCCCACGTGAATGGGCTGGTGGTTGGCGCCTCTTCCTCGAGACCGGTAGGTCCTGGGGTCGAACCTCCGCAGCAACATCGGCTTCTCCGTGCATCTAACGTGCTAGGTCTAGTTGGGGCGTTGGGCCGGGTCGAAGTGGGATTAGTCGGGCCCCCTTTACGAATTTGATCCGGACACCCACTCCGTCAGAAAAAAAAAATTATCTAAGTCCTTATATTATATTATCAAAAATTGTTGGTAACTTCACATAATTTAAGTTTTGCATCGTTGTTTTGTAGTATATAGTTGTTGGTATGATTCCTATTGCTTTGCTGTCCCCAGCTAATTAAACAGCCCTCACCTCACCTAGGGCTGTCAACGGACCCGGACCCGGTCCGGACCCATCAATATTTGCCGAGTACGGGTAGGCATATAGTTCCGGGACCCGGACCCGGACCCGTTTAACCTAATAGATTTGCAGGTAGGATACAGAATATGCCGTTCCGACCCGTATAGGACCCGAACCCATTTTTTAATTAATTAATAATTAAAAATATATATCCAATTTTGTTCAACCCTAAATCCCTAATAGTCTAATACCCACGTAACCTACCGCCGCCGCACTCTCTTTTCCTTTGCTCCTTACCCAGCCCAGCGACCATTTTTCTCCTCTGCCTCCCAACTCCTGAGTCGCGCCTCCACCACCACCACTCACCACTCACCACTCACCACTCACCAGATCTGCAATTTTTCAGGAAATTGACTGAAGTTTGAGTCTGACCGAAAAGGACTAAACGTCTAAACGCGAACGTCATCTAATTTCTAAACCTAATCGTCTAATCTTCAATCTACTCTTCACAGTTCACTCCACTACTCCAGTCTTCGGCTCTTCGCCTCCTCGCCGTCTTCAGTCTTCCTGGAGTTCCTGCTCGGCTGCCGCCGCTGCTTTTGCCGACTGCTCGGCTTCTCAGTCAACCGTTGTGTGTTCTTCTCTTCCTGGACTGTCTTCACCGGCGGCTACTGTGCTCATTATGCTTTTTCTTGACTCTTTTGAGCCTACCCTGCCCACCATGCTCCAAGCAAAAGGCCTACTCTTCGATTCCAACTCACAAAATCACACGGCAGACTCTTTCCGCTCTTCTGGAGCTGGGCACAGGATGATTTGTCCAAGGAAGGAAGGAAAACCAACAAATTTCAACGACCGGGCTTCATTTGCTTTGAGGAATTAAGAGCTTTATTTATTTATTATTATTCTGAATTACTGATACGAATATTGGCTCCGGCGACGAGTTTTGAACGGATTCATACAACACATTTTCTTTAAGATTTTTGGTTGATATTACTTGGGAACAAATTAAAAGAAAAAATCGGAAATTTTTAAGCATCAGAGGACCTCTCTCAGTCTCATCTCTTTCATGGACTTTGCCAAAAGAAGGATTTCTGAGTATTGAATTGCGATGGTGAATTGGGGTCCGCTAAGGTCTACCAGTGGGGTCGTACACCTATCTTACCCAAGTTTTTGCTGTTGTATAATAATCTCCATTTTATTATTATTATTTTTTTTTTTTGGGTAAAATTGTGGGGACGAAGCTTGTGACGGAAGTCGGTGGGTTGGGTAAAGCCTGCCAGCGTTGGACTTTTTAAATCCTTGTGTTTGTTGGATTAGATTATATGAAATAGTTTGCTACATGCAGTTTTCTTCTTGTTGGCTGAAATCTGTTAAGTGTTCAACTCTTGAGCTGTGGTGATGATAGGAAAAACGATTCATCAACTGTTGATGCATTTTCCAGGAGTTACTTGAACAGGTTTTAACGGGTCTGATTGCCGGGTAGACCGGCCCGGATTTGGGATCCGTCGGTACGGGTCCGGTGACAGATTAGAAGACCCGTCGGGTATTCGGGTCAAATCCGGAACTAATCTAGCATAACGGGTCCGGGTCCGGATATATGCATTCCGGCCCAGACCCCGCCTGTTGACAGGCCTAACCTCACCCTCCTAACTTGCTAAATGCCTCTAATTTTGTCTTCGTCCGGTCTTAGAAGGTATTGTTCAAACCCAAAAATGGGGCAACCAAGCAAGCAAGCGTTGGATCAGGCCCTTCTTTCTTTCAGGAATAAAAAATAACTACTCAACACTTCATGCCGTCTTTTATTTAAGGCCTTGGTTTGACACCCGATTAGCATAACCAAATGTTCCAGTCGGTAACCCCAAAGTTGGCGATGGAGTTTAACAGTTTACTCCTCCTGTCTCCGCTCTTATTCTGCTTTACCTCCATCTTGCTTTACATAGCAAACCGATCAATCAACAAGCAGAAGAGGCTTCCTCCAGGCCCCAAAGGCCTTCCAATTATTGGGAATCTCCTCAAATTAGGTGACAGACCCCATGAGTCCTTGACCATGTTAGCCAAGATTCACGGTCCACTCATGACAATCAAACTTGGCCGTGTCACGACTGTAGTTGCATCTTCAGCTGAAATGGCTAGAGAAATTCTCCAGAAGAATGATCAGGCTTTCTTGAGCAGGCCAATCCCAGATGCGGCAACTGCAGAAACTGATTACCAGCATTCCGTAATTTGGACTCCTGGAGGTCCAAAATGGCAAAAGCTGCGAAAGCTTTTGAACAATCAAGTTTTGACCCCCAAAGATTGGATGCGTTGCAAGAATTACGGCACCAAATGATGGAAAACATGCTTAAACGTGTCTTCGAAGCTCGAGAAGCTGGAGAAGCTTTATATTGGGAGATTAGTGTTCGGTACATCTTTGAGCTTATTGTCCAACATGTCATTTTCAGCTGACGTGCTGGATCCAAATTCAAAAGAAGTTAAAGAATTAAAAGATTTGATTCAGATGATTTTGGAGCTTGTTGGCAAGCCAAATCTCGCTGATTTTTTTCCTATTCTAAAGCCATTTGACCCTCAGCGAATTAGACGAGATATTAAGCGTGGTTATGATGGTTTGCACTCGCTAATTGAGAACAATATTGATCGCCGGATGAAACAAAGGGCTTCTAGCATAGAAAGATCGGGGGATTTCTTGGATGCTCTTCTCGATCACAGTGAACAATATGGCCCGGATGAACTGGATCGCCGCGAAGTTAGACTACTACTCATGGTAATTAGTAGCGTAAATTGCACTTTGCATTCATCTACCAACTACTCTTTTTTTTTTTTAATCTAATTCTTCTTTTATAAGATTCGTAACTTAAGATGCACTTTGCATTCATCTACAGGTTTTTTGTTACCCTGAATACGTAATTCTTATCTGTGTATCTACAATTTATTACTATTATGATATATGACATTAGATGCATCTCACGTTGACTTTCCGACGTACTCCATACATAATACAGCTTCTGAAGAGGGAGGGGGACTATAAGGTGACAGATAAGTGATTGGCTGGATGTGTTAGAAAGCTTACGCAAATACTTGCTTGTAGGACTTTTGAATGACAAGTGCTAAATGAAATTCTTATCTCAAACATCCAATTCCCACATATAATATTATTACTCTGTGAATATTGACAATAATATTTCTGCGCCACCAACAGGATTTGTTTATAGGAGGTACAGATACCTCCAGCGCCACCGTGGAATGGGTAATGACAGAACTTCTTCACAACCCAGAGAAAATGGCAAAAGTAAAGCAAGAACTTTGTAGAAAAAATTGGCCCAGGGTTTAGTGTCAAGGAGGCAGACATCCTGCAACTTCCGTATCTAGATGCAGTCCTAAAAGAAACAATGAGACTTCATCCCGCAGCACCGCTTATCACCCATTCTGCCATGACAGACGTGCAACTTTGTGGTTTCGTCATTCCAAAACATACTCAAGTAATGGTGAACGCATGGTCGATCACGAGGGACACAGCTTACTGGAAAGATCCCACCATATTTCTACCAGAAAGGTTTCTGAATTCAGATTTGGATTTCAGGGGGAGGGATTTATACTTCATCCCTTTTGGCGCTGGAAGGCGAATTTGCCCTGGATTGCCTCTGGCAGTGAGAATAGTGAAATTGTTGTTAGCTACTCTTGTACATAATTTTGATTGGAAACTTCCTAATGGTATGGAGCCAAAGGATATGGACATGAGAGATAAGTTTGGGCTTACACTTGAGAAAGCTAAGCCACTTGCTGCTATTCCAATGAGAGTTTCAAATTGTTGAAGTTTTCCTTATCAGACTGTTGGGGTTGGGGAATCCCGCATATTTCAGTGTCCAAGTCGATGTCCTTTCGTATTGAAGTTGATCATAGATCAATTTGTCACTGAGCAAGCTGGCTTTGTATCTTCTAATGGCTAACTAAAGCCACATGTGAATAAAATGATCAAGGTTGATTTCTGGTCAGGGCAGGAAAAGATTGACCATTGCTATTTATTTTCTAGCTTTATTTCATTTTCACCAATGGGAGGCCGCGAATAATAGACATTTTTTGCAAGTCAATAAATAATCAATAATTAACTTTCAAATTTACATCAGAGAGCATATGAAAAAAATTCCTCGATTCATACTCTCACAGCTCGACCAATATTCATGTAAATATACGGTCATCTCATTGCCTCCCAAGGATGGCACTGTCCATTCTCTGAACTCTATGCATATCTTTTTTACATCTTAGGCAAGAACATTTTATTATTCTGAAGAATAGTAAATTAAATTAGACTTTAAAAATCATGAGCACTTTAATGACAATGATAGTAGACCATCCAAGGGCGGTTTTCAAAGTTTCAGTAAACAATTCCATTAATGTCAGTTATGTCCTTACACAGAGGGATTAAAACTAAAGGCATTATTGAACTTTTGGCATTTCATGCATTGATTTTCTGCATGATAAATGATGGTTCAGCTCTTGCTTGCGCTAATGAACTTCTTTTGCTATTCTTAATCTAGGTTTTGGCTTTTGAGATGTGCTGTTATATAATTCAGAACACTTACGCTCTAATGAACATTGGGCAAAGAATAGCAAATTCTCTATCTTGATTATGGAATTAATATTGAAGATTCTCTTTTTTTTTTTAATGTGGGGTTTTTAATTCAAGGTAATGTCAACTCATTTATGCCAAATTTGCTGATAACTAGACCTCAAGACTACAATAAAAAGCCGAAGGGCCTTAAGAAACTTGATACTTATGCTAACAAATGTCCCGCCAAGTAAATTAAAACTTGGGAGAATGGTAAAAGATTAAATGCTTTTTCTATTATATGGCTTAAGGCGTAAGACAAACACCCATTAAAATATTTTGAAATTATCACCATCTCTTAATTTACATATACTTGTGGATAAAAGTTAGTCGGTCCTACCTTTTTTATTCCGCGAGAATTTAAGATTTAAGGATCTGTTTACAACCAATTTTCGTGGACTTTCTTTAGTTTCTGAGCTTGAGAAATATATTACGTGATCTTCTCAATTACTTAGTCTTTTAGCTTTTGAATTTAAAACATAAAAATAAAAAAAGATGCCAAAAGGAGTATAAGATACGTATTTTTTGAACTCTATTTTTGACCACAAAAACCAGAATCAATGGATGACAGAGCTGACAAAGCATTTAATGAACCGAGCTATTTGGAACGTATTTGTGTTCAACTTGTTCGAGTTCGAAAAACGTTTGTTTGTTTAATAAATGAATCAAATTCGAATAGAATATTAGACTCGTTTAATAATCAAGTCGAACACGAACCTATTCGATAACTATTCGAATAGTTTGCGATAGGGCTATGATCAAATCGAACTATTCGCGAGATCTCGCGAGCAACTCGCTCAAAAACCTGACTTGAATTTGGGTTAATCGAATTTGAGTCGAATTCGAGTGTCTCAATAAAGCAAGCGAGTCGAGTTCGAGAATTCAGAAGCAATGGTCGAAAACTCATCGAACCTTATTGAGCTTTTTAATTTTAATTCTTTAATATATTATTATTATAAAATTACTTTTATACCCAAAAGAGTTGTTGAATTTACGAAATGTTTCAGGTCATATAAAAATTTTTAAAAGGCAATAATGCCTTTTGCTAAAAAATTGTCAAGAAAAAAAATTTTCTAACTCGAACTTAATAAGTCTCGCATTAACTCGAACCTATGCGAGTCGAGCTCGAGTTCTGTAAACAAACATCGAGCTCTAATAATACTACGTGCTCAAGCACGACCTCGAGCACCCTTCTTTTTGTCGAGTCGAGCTCGAGTATCGATTACATCCCTAGTTCGCAAACATATATATAATTATAAAAAATAATAGTTTAATATTATTAAATATTATTATATTTTACTAAAAAAGTAATTATACATAAATTAGCATTATTTATTTTTAAAAAATCATAAATACAATTAAACTTATTCTAAATAATGTATTATTTATTAAAAAATATAATTAAATCATTTTCAAAATCAAATTCAAACTCGAGTTCGAGTTCGAATTCAACCCGCATAATTTAACGAGCCGAGTTTGAATATTTATACAAATAATCAAATCAAATTCAACTAATAGCTGTAACTCATTAATATTCAATGTGAATTCAAACTTTATTAGTATAATATACGAGCAGAGTTTGCTCAGTTCGACTCGTGAAAAGTTCTAGATAACAGGCCTTGGAAGTCCATCCAATGCCGAGAGAATTGTAGATAAAGGTTTCTTACCAAGGTAACCGGGCTGGGCTGGGACAGAATGAATCAGGCCGCCATGAACACAGCCCTGAAGATGCTCCTTACTCAGGGCAAAAGAAGGAATAGAACCCTTGACAAGTTGTTCGGGAACTGGGCTTTCAAGACATAATTCCTTTTCTTTTCAGGGAGATGTACCCAATTCAATTTTGCATGGACCATTTGGTCACGGGAAATCGAGACTTCACAGTGACGCTTGCTCCGTTTGAATGATTATTGTTTGTGGGATGTCATAGAAAGATTTTTGTGTAGCACTTTTATTGATTAATTGTTTTTGAAAGAGAAAAAAGATAGTGTAAAAACGTACTTAAATTTTCCAAATGTATGTCTTAAAGAAAATAGAATGAAACAAACATAATTTAGATGGGTCAGTTTGTAATTATACTTTTTGTGGAGCCATTTGACATCAAACAAGAATTCAAGAAAGTTAATTCCTATTTTGTACAAAGTTTTTGCCAAACACATTTGTCATTGATGAACGAGTGTTAAATAGCATATTTGAACCCATGTATTGTCCAACCAGCTTTTCTTTTTTCGCTTTTAAAAAAACCAGGTATTTCTATAGATTAAAAAAATATGAAGTCTTGAAAGTTAAAGAAAGGTTCAATGTGTCTTTGCACAACAAAAGAGCAAGAGACGAAAAAGGAGGCAAAGTTCTTAATCCACCCCATTAGTTCGATAAATATGCCGAATAGCAACGTTTACTGAGGAGTGCATCATGTACCCGTTAAATTATCCATATTTTGATATTCTAGTTGAAGAAAAATATGTAAAATTAATTTTTTTAAAGTTTCGTTAGATATAAATCCAAAAGTTCAACAAATTCATCATTTCCATCAATTTTTTCTTTTACAATTCAGTAATTAGCATATATCAAATTGGCAAACAGCAAATATCATGTAACAAATGATGCTTCGGATTCTTCTGAGTCACTTTCTTGTTCTCTCTTCTTCTTTCGAGTTTGATTACATCTAATCCTTTAAGAAATCCAACAAGTATCAGAAAACAAGAACTAATCAAGTGAGAGACGCCGATTGAGAATGATATCCTAAACTAATCAAGAACTTATGTCTCGTTTGAATTGCCATTTTTTTTTAAAAAAATTATTATTCATAAACACATTTTTTAATCATCTTTTTATTTCAAATATATTAAATTACTATAATATTTTTTTGTATAAAAAAACTCAAAAAATTACAATTTAGATGGGCTATGGAAAAGCAAATAAAAAAAGGGGCTACTAATTTTTTTTTCTTACAAATATAATGTTGCGTTTTTAATAGCACGAGACGGGGGATTTGCAGAGGGCTTCTTCTTGTGCATGTTTCTAGATTCAAATTGCCGACTAAAGTGAACATAGGAGTCACTGGGAAGCAAAAATGAGTCCTCTCACGTGTAGAGGCTTTTTCTCTCTCTTGGGAAGAGAGCTTCTTTCTCCTTGGTGGGAACTTCAAGCTTTTGAAAATTCCAAGCAACCAATTAACAGAATTCAAAAGTTTGAGTCTGAGCTAACTTCTAGATCCTAACATTGTGTGCAAGTCTGGTTCTTAAAGGCAAGCATTCAACACACATTCGGATAAGACACCATTAAGAAACAGCATTCAAGGAAGTCATGGAAGTGGAGCTGGTCGGTTGGTGAGGAAAAAAAACAGAAAAGCAAAGAAAAAAGAGAAAAGTACATCTGCAGGCGCAATTCCTAAGCAGTTGGTTGGAAACTCCAACAACTCTATAAAAGGAAAGAAGTCCGGTTCAGGTAGCTTGACTGCCTTTTGCTCTTGTTTAGTTGCTTTCTTGTCTTTTCTGTGTTTGGAGTGTTAGTTTAGTGTGTTAACCTAGATTTTGCTACCTATCTTTTAACTCCATAGTATTAGGAGAGTAACATGTCTCTAGTGGTAAGTGTTTACAGTACCTTCAGTCTTCCTCTTGTGGTTTGATGGAGGAGGAGCTGGCAGAGGTGTTACAAAAATTTGCTCTTTCAGAGAAGCAAGTGAGAAGTACATTCCTGGATCTGGGGAACCTAGATGAGGGGATAACAGAATGTCAAGGTAGCATCATAGGAAAAATAAGAGGGGAGAAAATAGTTAACTTCACAGGAGTTAAAAATTTTGTTACTGTGGCTTGGAGCTATCTTAAGGGTCTTAAAATAGCAGAATTAGGACCTACTATTTTCCAGTTTATTATCCCAGATTCTAAGGATAAGGAACGAATTATTGAGGAGGGTACGTGGATTATTGATAATCAGATATTAGTGTTTAGGAAGTGGAAGGTGAGGATTGAAGAGGATGAAGATGCTTTCAGTTTAGCCCCTGTTTGGGTGCAAGTGTGGAATCTTCCCATTCACTATCTATCTAAGGCAGTTCGGAAGAAAGTGGGATCTGTTTTTAATGAGGTTAAGAATGTGTTAATTTCTCAGACGGGAGGTAAGGAAGGAAAACATATGAAACTAGTAGCACAGGTAGATATTAAGCAGCCTTTATTGAGAGAAACCATGGTTCAGATTAATGGAATGAATAAATGGTTATCATTTAAGTATGAGAAGTGTCCTGACTTTTGCTATAGTTGTGGTGTCATTGGGCATATTGAAAAGAATTGCAAGTCTCCTGTGTTGGTGGAAAAGGAACAATATCAGAATCAATATGGCCCGTGGATGAGGGTGTTTGGGGAAGAAGCTCCCCTCAAAAAGAGCATAGTCAAAA